GAGTCTCAACAGATTTTAAAGGATATCATACAAAGCATCTTCTCTGACCACAACAGGATGAAGTTAGAAATCAGTAACACGGGCCGGTCCTGTGGCTTGGTGGTTAAGTGCGCGCGCTGCAATGCTGGTGGCCCGGGTTCGGATCCCGGGTGCGCATCGAGGCACCACTTCTCCGTCCATCCTGAGGCTGAGTCCCACATACAGCAACTAGAAGGATGTGCAGCTATGACATACAACTATCTACTGGGGCTTTGGGGGGAAAAATTAAATAAATAAAATCTTAAAAAAAAAAGAAATCAGTAACAGAAGTAAAACTAGAAAATTCTCAAATTTGTGGAAATTAAACAACATACTCTTAAAAAAACAATGGATCAAAGAAGAAATCAAAAGGAAAATTAGAAAATATTTAGTGCTGAATGAAAACAAAACCACATCATACTAAAACTTATGGAAAACAGTAAAGCAGTGTTAAGGAGAAAATTTATAGCTATAAAAAACAAGAAAAATCTCAAATCAACAACCTAACTTTACAACTTACAGACCTACAAAAAGAACAAACTAAACCCAAAGCTAGCAGAAAGAAGGAAATAATAAAGATTAGCAAAGAGTTAAATGAAAGACAATAGAAAAACATTAGAGAAAAATTAATGAAACCAAAAGTTGGTTCTTTGAAAAGATCAACAAAGTTGACAACTTTGACTAAATGGACAAAGAAAAAAAGAGAGGACTCAAATTACTAACATCAGAAATGAACGTGGGGACATTACTATCAATTCTACAGAGAAAAGGATTATAAGAGAGTAAATATGAACAACTGTACACCAACAAATTGGATAACCTATACAAAATGGACAAATTCCTAGAAACACAAAACCTACCAAAAGCAAACCACAAAGAAATAGAAAATCTGAATAGACCTATAACTAGGTAAGATGATTGAATCAGTAATCAAAAATCTGCAGACAAAGAAAGCCCTGGACCTGATGGCTTCACTGGTGAATTCTAACTAATGTTTAAAGAAAAACCAACACCAAACCTTCTCAAACTTTTCCAGAAAATTGAAAGAGAGGAAATACTTCCTAACTCATCCTATGAGGTCAGAATTACTCTGATACCAAAGCGAGACAAAGATACTACAAGATAAGAAAACTACAGACCAATATACCCTATGAACACTGATGCAAAAATCCTCAACAAAATACTATCAAAATGAATTCAATACCATATTAGAAGGATTATACACCATGACCACATGAGATTTATTCCTGGAATACAAGGATGGTTCAACATACAAAAACTGATCAATGTAATATACCACATTAACAGAATTAAGGGGAAAAACTCCACATGATCATCTCAATTGATGTAGAAAATGTATTTGACAAAAGTCAACACCCTTTCATGATAAAAATACTCAACAAATCCCACAGCGAATATCATACTCAATGGTGAAAGACTGAAAGCTTTTCCTCTAAGATCAGGAACAAAGCAAGGATGTTCATTTTCAACACTTTTATTCAACATAGTATTGAAAGTCCTAGGCAAAGTGGGCAAAAAAGAGAAATAAAAGGCATTCGAAATTGGAAAGGAAGAAACAAATTTATCTCTGTTATATATCATATCTATCATATAAGATCCGATCTTATATGTAGAAACCCCTAAAGATTCCACAAAAAAACCTGTTAGAATAAAAGAATTCAGCAAAGTAGCAGGACACAAAGTCAACACACAAAAATCAGTTGCATTTCTATATACAAACAATGAACAATCTGAAAAGGAAATTACAAAAACAATTCCATTTACAATGATATCAAAAAGAATAAAATATTTAGGAATTAACTTAATTGCAGAGGTGAAAGACTTGTAAAATAAAAACTATAAAACATTGCTGAAACAAATTAAAGACATAAATAAATGGAAACACATCTCATGTTCATGGACTGGAAGACTTAATGTGGTTAAGGTGTCAATACTACCCAAAGCAATCTACAGATTCAATGTAATTCATATCAAAAATCCCAATGACTTTTTTTTTACAGAAATGGAAAATCCCATCCTAAAATTCATACGGAATCTCCAGGGATCCTGAATAGCCAAAACTATCTTGAAAAAGAACAACAAAGCTGGAGGACTCACACTTCCTGATATCAAAACTTACTACAAAGTTACAGCAGTCAAAACAGTGTGGTACCAGCATAAAGACAAGCACAAAGACCAACGGAATAGAATAAAGAACTCAGAAATAAACTCTCACATATATAGTCGAAACATTTTTGACAACGGTGTCAAGCCTTCAACGGGGAAAGAACAGTCTTTTCAACAAATGGTGCTGGGAAAACTGGACATCCACATGCAAAAGAATGAAATTGGACCCTTACCTAACACCGTATACAAAAATTAACACTGCGTGGGTCAAAGACTTACATGTAAAACCTAAAACTATAAAAGTCTTAGAAGAAAACAAGAGGCAAGAGCTTCATGACGTTGGATTGAGCAATGATTTCTTGGATATGACACCAAAGGCATACGCAACAAAAGAAAAAATAGATTATTTTGGACTTCAGGAAAATTTAAAAATTTGTGCATCAAAAGACACTATCAACCCAAGTTAAAAAAAAAAAGGGAGAAAATATTTGCAAATCATACATCTGATAAGGAGTTAATATCCAGAAATATAGAGAACTCCTAAAACTCAGCAACAAAAAAAAAACCTGATTTAAAAATGGGCAAACGACATGAAGAGACATTTCTCCAAAGAAGACATACAAACGGCCAATAAGCAGATGAAAAGATGCTCAACATCATTAACCATCAAAGAATGCACACCAAAACTACAATGCGATACCACCTCACACCCACTGGGAAAGCTACTACGGAAAAAAAAAAAAAAAAAAAAAACAGAAAATAACAAATGTCAGCAAGGATGTAGAGAAACTGGAAGCCCTTGTGCACTGTTGCTGGGAATGTAAAATGGTACAGCTGCTGTGAAAAATAGTAGGGCAGTTCCTCAAAAAATGAAACAGAGAATTACCATGTAATCCAGCAATTTCACTTCTGGGTAGAGACCCAAAATAATTGAAAGCAGGGTCTTGAAAAGATATTTTGTACACTCATGTTCATAACAACATTATTCACCATACCTAAAACATAGAAGCAACCCAAGTGTTCATTGACAGATAAATGGATAAGCAAAATGTGGTATATACATACAATGGAATATTATTGAGCCTTAAAAAGGAAGGAAATTCTAACATATGCCACAACATGGATGAACCTTGAAGACACTATGGTAAGTGAAATAAGCCAGTCACACAAAGACAAATACTGTATGATTCCACTTACAGGAAGTACTTAGAGTAGTCAAAAATCAGAGACAGAAAGTAAAATGGTGGTCGCCAGGGGCTTGGGGGTAGCGGTAGAATGGGGGGGTGAGTTATTGTTTAATGAGTAGAGAGCATCCACTTTACAAGAAGAAAAGAGTTATGGAGACGGACGGTGGTGATGGCTGCACAACATTATGAATATATTTAATACCACTGAACTGTACACACTTAAGGATGATTGGGATTTTATGTCTATTTACCATAATAAAAAAAATTTTTTTTAGAGCGTATTTATCAGGAAGACACCAAAAGAGAAGTGACAAAAAGACAGAGAGAGAGAAATGAGCTAAAGAGTTATCAAAAAATAAAGTTTAGTGTCTGGCACATAGAGGGCACTCAAATTCAGCTGGTACTAAGTACCTCCTATATGCCAGGCACTGAATGAGGCCCTTGTACAGATCTAATTTATGAAATGAATAAGTCAGCAAAATCAAATAGCCACTGAGGGTTTCAATTTAGGTAAGCTATCCAAATGGAAGAAGCAAGATGATGAAAGATTTCTAGTGTATCAAAAGACAGAAATAAAGACTTCATGAAAAGAAAGATTGCAGCCTGACTGGGTACCTTGAGAGCATGGGAAGCTCAAATACGTGAAATAAGCTAGGATAACGACTGAAGGAAGCCACTCAGGATAGGAGAGAGAGGACTTCTTAGCATCAAACATAAAACCAAGATAACATACAGAAAAGAAGTCAACTTGGAGATAAAAGGCAGCAAGAAATTAAAATGAGGAGAGAAAGAACTTGGATATTAAACACCTGTAGAATGGAAACCTGAGAGAAGTAAACTGTAGGCACTCCAATCAGAGTAAAAGAGATGGGCATAAGGGTAAAGAGTAAAGGAAGAAAGTGAGATGAAAGAGAGAGCACAAATTTTGAGTCAGAGTACAACATAACGACTTACCACTGTCTACTCAAGTAAACTTTGAACTTCAATTCTGTTTAACATTCTTAGAAGATATATAAAATAAGAAATGTTGATTTTCATTGCAAGTCTATACAAATTTAAATTGATGTAACTTCATAACTATGTTCCTATAAGTATCAGGGCCAGCCCCGTGGCCTGGTGATTGCGTTTGGCACACTCCACTTCAGCGGCCCAGGTTCACGAGTTCAGATCCCAGGCGCGGACCTACACCACTTGTCAGCCATGCTGTGGTGGCATCCCACACACAAAATAGAGGAAGACAGGCACAGATGTTAGCTCAGGGCTAATCTTCCTCAAGCCAAAAAAAGAAAAAAAAAGGAAAGATTGGCAACAGATATGTTAGCTCAGGGCGAATCTTCCTGGGGGTGTGTGTGGGGGGGGGAGCATCTTTAAGATATTTAATTCTTGTTTGATAACTTAAAAGGTTAAAGATCACAAACGAAAGTCAATTGAAACAATAAAATGATATAAATCATGACAAAAAAACACAGTCTCCTTATCCCAGTTTTCCTAAAATATACCTTAAATATATAAATTATTTGATTTCATTCATTTCTTAGAAATAAAAAGATGTGAAAGGGTCAACTGTCACCATTAACAACATACCAAGTTGCCTCAGATGGTTACTGAATGACTGAATTTCACATGAATGAGAAAAAGAGAAGATCAAGAACATAATTAAACTCATACCTGCCCCAATGTGTTGGGAAGGTTTTGTTGGATGCATGGCACCGTGACAGACACTCTGCTGAACGTTACTCTGTGAGTGGATAAGGCCAGTTTGTGTAAAGAATTGATTAAGAGAAGAACAGAGATCAGCAAATTGAACCTGATCTAAAGACCAGTTCTTGAGATCTGCCTGTCTCATACTCTCCATCAAACCTATGAGGAAAGCATTAGAAATACAGTTAGCATAGTTCTGCAAACAATGCAGGAAAATAGCAAGACACAATTTTTTTTCAGCCTCAAAATTTCCACTGGTAGTGATTTGCACATGCAATAAAGAAGGACATTTTAAAATCATTCAAAGCCTGATTCTTTTAAATGTGGCCAAATTTCTTTCCAAACTCTTGTCTGTGACCCTCTGTTACATCAACTGGCCAAAATACTTAATTACGAATTTTGCAAAGTGTTGTTTTTAAGAACACTACCAACTGCAAAAGAAACACTATATAAGGAGATGTTTACTTCTACTAAAAAGAAACTTATCTATCAGAGAAAACAGGATCATGTGTATTTGGTTATAAGTCAGCCAATACTCACCTTGGAACTGTGAAAGGTCTACATCTGACCAATTAACACTGCTGGCAATTCGACAGCTTTCTTTTAGCATATCAAGTGTTGCATACCAATCATTTGAAACACCTATAAAAATAATATTGACAATACTATAAATCTTGGATGTGGAAGTTTAAAGTATATGGTAAGAGAAGACAATGAGCTGGCCTTAGTCCTGACATTGGCATATCTCTATCTAGTTTTACAAACAGATTTGCACCCATTACATTATATCATGTGTTGGGGCAATTTGCTGTGTGAGACAGGCAGGAAGGGTATTACTTCTCTCCATTTTACAAATAAAAGAAACTGAACGCATAACTTAGAAAGGTCACTATGATGAATCTAGGACTTGAACCCAGGACTTCTAAGCTCTAGTCTGGGAGCTTGCAAATTGCCATATCACCTTATAATGTCAAACTTGATAACTGCTCTTTACATTTGTACAGTACAAATAAATGACTGGGCAAGACAAGTCATGTAAATCAGTATTTTCTCTCTATACAAAGTTCATTTTCCTGTCTTGTTATGACCTCAGGAGATATGTTCTTTATAACTTAGAGGCAGATTCACATTTAGAAGCAATGCACAGTGTGACTTCAAGCACTGACATAAGGGAGGTAAATTAGATTGTATAGTAAGAGGAGATCTTTCTTACAAGGCAACCTTAGGAGAAATGCCTTAACATAGTCCTCCTGCCAGGTAGTGAGGGAGACGGCTGAGACTTCTGTAAGAAATGCTGATGCATCCAAACCAGGGCATTTCTAGTCAGGAAGAGTTATCCTCTGATGTGACATCATCAGGAAAGCTAAGACTCCACAGTCTGTATGTCAGCAAAGTGGTCACCACCCAGGGGCATGGGGCAAGAGCTGCACTCAGTGACAATTAGATAGTGCTGAATAAAGGAAGAAAATCCTCCGTTCAGTGACTGCTGCCCAAATTACTCTGTTTTCAGGATCACCCCTGGATGGATGAAGGTAAGAACTAATAAAGAAGATTTTTTGCTACATCACAGATAATTCTGTATCAACCACTGGCTACTTGATTTAAAAAATTCTGCCAATTATGGATTTTTTAAATAAACAATGAACCAGAGACAACATGACCCTGTCCTCAAGCAACCCATAATTTAGGGAAAAATTTGTTGGTGAAAAAAATTAAATTAATGTCCCAAGTGAGCCACAAACATTCAAGTCTTTCAGAGCCTATAATAAGTGCTGACTTGGCAACAATACAAAATAAAGCAATCTCTGCAGAGAGAGTGACTGAGCAAACCCTACCCACTCAGTAAATGTTTGCTGATTTTAGTCCTTTCAGAATAACTGGTGTTACAGGCTTTGAAGTATGCCAGGCCAGGGTATAAATTCCAGTTCTACCACTTGGCAGCATGATCTCAAGCAAACTGCTTAACCTCTTTGAGTTACACTTTTCCTATTTATTAAATGTGGTAATTTATACTTGATTTGGGAGAATAATAAGAGATAATGGGGCCGACCCCGTGGCTTAGTGGTTAAGTGCGTGCGCTCTGCTACTGGCGGTCCGGGTTCAGATCCCAGGCGCACACCGACGCGCTGCTTCTCCGGCCATGCTGAGGCCGCGTCCCACACACAGCAACTAGAAGGATGTGCAGCTATGACATACAACTATCTACTGCGGCTTTGGGGAAAAAATAAATAAATAAATAAGAGATAATGTATCTAAATTGCCTAGCACACAATGGACACTCAAACAATTGTTAGTTCCCTCCATTCCTTCCCTGTTAAAGACAATCTACTTATGGTGCCGGCCTGGTGGCGCAAGCGGTTAAGCGCACGTGCTCCGTTTCGGCGGCCCAGGGTTCGCAGGTTCGGATCCCGTGCGCGCACCGACGCACCGCTTGTCAAGCCATGCTGTGGCGGCATCCCATATAAAGTAGAGGAAGATGGGCACAGATGTTAGCCCAGGGCCAATCTTCCTCAGCAAAAAGAGGAGGATTGGCATTGGATGTTAGCTCAGGGCTGATCTTCCTCACAAAAAAAAAAAAAAAAAAAAGACAATCTACTTAGTCCCATCTTATAAATGAGAAATTTATAATTCAAAGAGATTAATTATTATCACAGTCACAATGATCATTCCCAACTCCCCAAGGTGAAAGTCTATTTTCCTTCTCTGGCAAGCTACCACTGATATAACAGGCCACTAAGGGCACATCATGGATTGTTTTCAGCTGTAACAGTACTTTTTTCTCCCCTGGCAATCATTAGACTTAACGAAGAGAAAGGTATGACAAGAGATTCACAGAATTCTACTGATACCCAATCTCTATAATCATTAGTCAACCCTCAAAATCATATTAAGAACAAGCTTAAACTTCTGAAGAATACATTGACATTAAAAGGCAGGTAAATAGTGACTGACACTAAGAGTTACAAAAGGGGGCTATATTATATACCTTTTCCTTTAGGCATAGATCTAGAAATAATTTCAAGATGTTTTAGGAAACATTCCATCAACACAGGAACTATGCCCAATTTTCAATTTTATTCTAGAACCTACTTAGAATTAGTAACTGGGAAAACAAAACAAATTGTTAAAAGGAGCTTACTAAATTCCAAGTACCCTGGCTATGCATTTTTGTACTGTATCTCATTTAATTCTCCCAAAAACTTATATTATTTTTTCCATTCTGTAAACAAGGAAACTTTTGGAAAAATTTAAGATTTATAACAAAGTCAGAATATTAGAGACAGTATGCACTATCCAAAGCTCATTGCCCGGACAACAGTTTAATTGCCTGAAACAATCGTCCATTTTTAATTGATGAATAAGAACTAGCACTGTCTAGCATTTAGAAATTGTCCCTCCAGGATAAAAATCTCATCAGTGACATAGCTGGTAAGTGCACAAGCCAGGCAAGCTGAGGGAAGAAACTGTACTTTGCACAACTCCAAGGGGCCCCATTCACCTTGGGGTCTATGTCCTTGGAGTTCTGCAATGCAAAGATGGCCTTGTCTGTGAACAATGTCAGTTCAGCATCTCACCAGAAACCAACTAGACCTACCTTAAGACAATAGATTTTTTAAAAATCAGGATATGAAGAAGGTTTTCTTCCTTTGCAATCTATCATTCTAAAATGAGATACTTGGCAGGAATAAGCAAAGAAAGGAAGAGTGGGAACATTCACTGAATACTTAAATGCAAGGTACTAGACGAGGCATTTCATATTTGTATTTGCAATATGATTCTATTAACAACACTATATAGGGTATGTTAGTTCCATTTTTTATAGATGAGAAAATAAGACTAAAAGAAGTAATGTACCAAAGGTCATAAAGAGCCATAATGAGGATTCATATACAGTCTTTCTGACGTACATCTATACTCTTTCTTCTATACCACAATGAATCACAATCAACTGCAGACAGACTGCATCCCACTCTTCTTTCAAAGACTCACAAAAACACTAGTTCTCCCGAAGGACAAAACAAGAGTTAAAACCAAAACCTGCAAGGGTTGCTGAGTTTGCCTATGATGCCACAATAAATTTTAATCAAGAAAATCTTCAGGTCAATCTACGGACTGAATGAGTTACAACTACAGGATGACAGCAAGGAAACACAAAAGGAGACAGATGAGAAGGGTTTTGGTAGTAAATATATATAAGCCTCAGATAAAGGACAGATCCTAATTCACAATTAGCCAAACACAAGTCAGGAGACAAACTTACCAGAATTACAGGATACCTGTTGTGGGGGTGGGGGCGCCTGATGTGTTAACGTCTGATGCTGATGGTTTGGATGGTGCTGTATGTGTTGATGTGGAGAGGGGTGCTGGGGGTGAGGGGATTGGAGCTGGCTGTGTTGCTGTGGGTGCGGTGCTGGGTGCTGAGGACGCTGCGGTAAACCATGAGGTCGATGGGGCGGATGTGGAGACGGCTGTGTGTGCATCTGGGGATGGGACAGCGAGACTTGCGCAACCGAATTACTGCCCGTGGTGTTGAGGCCACTGCCATGACTGTTGGACAGGCTGCTTTGGTTGCTGTGTGGGTGAGAGCTCACTGTACTGCTAGGAGACTGCTGATAAGAACACGAAGTGTGGGACTGCTGGGAAGATTCAGAAGGGATGTTCATCAAACCTAAAAATAGTCAGAGAAAGCAAGATCATTTATGGTCAGATTTCAGTTATATTTTATCACAAACATTTGCAAAATAATTCACAGAGCAAAGGTATATATTGTTAGGAGGCAATTCTGGTTTAGTTTAACAAGTGTTGATGGAACATCCACCATACACATGGGCTCCGGGGTTACTGACAAGAGTAAGAAACATCACTCCCTGCCCTCAAGCAGCTTATGATCTAGTGGAACAGACAGTCACTTAAGGAGATTATGTCCAACAATATAAGTACTAAGGCAAAAGTCTACAGAAGGGATACGAGAGCTTTGCGTCCTGCCTATTCCAGCTAGGCAGGGGCTAGCACTATAGAGAAGCCTTCCTTGAAAAGGCAGTATCTGAGTTGAGTCTTGAAAAATAAGTAAATGTTAAGGGAAAAGTAGGAAAGGTGTTGGGTCTCTGTAGGCCTGAAGACCAAGGCTTTGACAGAAGAGGAGGGGAGAAATAAAGCCCAATTATTTCTGATGCCTTTCTTTGACTACTCCAAAAACTTTAAGTCCAAGGTGGCTAGAACCCTTAAGACTAAGCAAAACAAAAGAGCCATCTCTACTGTTCTTTTTCATTAATCTTATGGAACATTCTTGAGACACATACAGTTTAGGGGTTAAGACTGTGTACTTTATAGCACCAGAAAGTAGGGAAGGATTAAAGTCTCTGCACTGCCATTTACACACTTGGTAACTTAGAAAGTTATTAACCTCTTCAAGCCACAATTACCTCAACTATAAATGGGTATGATAATAGTACCTACTTCATAGAATTGTGGGGATGAAAGGCCATGATGCAAATACAGGCTGTAGGATGAGCTCAGTAAATGTTAGCTGCTATGATGATTAGGCCAGAAGTGTATAATGTTAAAAACAACGTCTGTTTGGTTTGCAGGTAAACACTCATTTTAATAAATTTTATTGCAACATTTGGTTCTATATAACTAGGCTATTTTCACATCCCAAAGGATGGCTCATACAATGTTTTGCTGAACTAAACACAAAAAATTTTATTAAATAAAAATAAAATCCCACAGCAGTGTCAGTCAATAAAAGAATAAAACTTTTCAAACAAAAAAAAAACAGTTATTCTCATACTTGTCATTAACAGTACAATTGTATCAGAGTACACTGTAAGAATATTTTTAAACCTAGTAAGTTAAGGTTTTATAGGTAACAGAGTTAATAAAAGTTCTTGCCTTGGCCCTGGAAAACTGTCATTTACAGGAAATCTATAGGATTATTACAGTAAGATGAAAGAAAGCAGTTATTTCATTATCTATTTCCAATAAAGTCCTAGTATTTTAACCCAGCACTGGAACCCAGACATGATCTATACCAACATTTTCAACCCCAAATTGTTTTTTAAAACAAAACAAAACATCTTTCAGAAGCTCAATATGTAAAACTGATAAACGTTAAGTTGCTTTTTTTGAAGCCAGGTAAGGAAGCCTGCTAGGTCTTTCTCTTCATCTGTACACTTCTCCTTCCTGAGACCTTCATAAAAGCCAAAGGCTCCAAAGAGAACAATTTGAAAACCACTAAACTAGTCTAATCTTCATTGTACAAATGGGGACGCTGAAGTCTAGTGAGGTGAAGTTAACTCAGCTGACTTTATGATAGAACCTGGACTAAAACCCAGAATTCCTATCAACGCTCTTTTTTTTTTTTTATTAGTGTGATGAAATAGCACTGTAGGCTTCAGAAATTGTCACTATTGTTATTTCAAAGCCAGTATTTTTCTATTATGATCACCAAGATTGGATCTGCTTAGCAAAGTCTTTTATTAGTTCTTTTTGTACTTTTATAGATAGAAAATTTAGGATAAAATTTGAGAAAATACATGAATCTTACTTTAACCAGAAAAACCAACTTCCTGTACAAGCTATTGATATTCATCAATACAACACTTGTATACAACATTAACTTTCATAATATCTGACAATGATAAGTAGAGTCATGTGCTGCATAACGACATTTCGGTCAACGACAGACTACATACACTATGGCAGTTCCATAAGATTAGTACCATACAGCCTAGGTGTACAGTAGGCTATACCATCCAGGTTTGTGCAAGTACACTCCATGATGTTCGCACAACGATGAAATCGCCTAACAACGCGTTTCTCAGAGTGTATCCCTGTTGTTAAGTGACACGTGCCTGTATTAAAATGTAAACTCTATAAAGACAGGGCTTTTTGTCTATTTTGTTCACTGCTATGAAAAGATAAACTCTGTGAGTTTGGGTATAAATAATTAATCTGCCAAACAAAGCAACGAGGAAATGGTTCAGTAGCAGAGTTCCCAACAATTTCTGACTAGTGTTCTACGGAGGAAAGACAATGCAACATCTAAATTCTATCACATGACTCTAACTAAAATTAAACCAGCAGCTAATGGGATAGTTAACACATAATAGCAACAATCTAGCATTTGGTTGAGATGTAATACTGCATTTCCACCAAAATCACTTTTAGTGTTAACATCTAATTTAAGTATGTTGTATAAAAACAATGACTCAGAGGGGCCGCCCGGTGGTGCAGGTTAAGTGCACGTGCTCCGCTGCGGCGGCCCAGGGTTCACAGGTTGGGATCCCGGGCATGCACCAACGCACCGCTTATTAGGCCATGCTGTGGCGGTGTCCCACATAAAGTAGAGGAAGATGGGCACGGATGTTAGCCCAGGGCCAGTCTTCCTCAAGAAAAAAGGGGAGGATTGGCATCCAATGTTAGCTCAGGGCTAGTCCTCCTCACACACATAAAAAAAAATGACTCAGAGCTTACCACTAATCAATGTGTTCACTTGTAAGTGCCATAAATGAAACTGAAAATTTGGTGCTACCATATACCAAGAGTTATCTCTTAGCTAACACCAGTGAGAACAGAAAGGCAAGGCACATATATTCTTGTGGTGCAACATTTACCACTCAACTACTTCACACGCCAGACATTACTAATTAACCTTGGCAGTCTTTCCCACATGGCACAGATGCAGTGTCAGAACTCTTCAACATAGTGCTTCAGGACACCACTAGTAATCAAGAGAAGTAGGCATGCAAGATGAAATTTATCTGCTATTCTTGTGCTATGATATAAATATATACAGAGCATAGTAAAGGCACAAAGAGCATTCATTCAATCCTGATCATGATGATAATGTTGTAAGATTAAAGAAATATGATAGCTATGTGAAAATAACTCTTAAAAGAAAATTTTTCAATAAAAATTCACTTTACAAAAAAAAGTATTAAAAAAAACTCACCTTGTTGACTAAGTGACTGCTCAAAAACTGACTTATAAAGGCTCCGAAATGAGGCACTGAGATCTTCAAAATTATATTCTGAGAAAAGAAGTTGTTTGTCTCGTTCTGGAAGGTTGTACTGTGGCTGCTGTTGAGGAGTTAATGACTGAGAGACTGGTTCTGGATGGTTTGTCACCTAACATTAGAAGAAAATACTACTAATTTAGTAGCTCTATATCAGAATTGGTTTGTTACATAAAATATATAACTGAAAATATTAGAATAGTTTCTAGAATCCAAAGGAAGTAACTTCCCTGTCTTTGGCTTTCCCGTCCTCTGTTGAGTTGGGTACACATAAAGGACAGACACAAAATTGTTAACTTGGATCTTGAAGAACCAGAGAAATCTAATCCAACCTCCACATTTCACAAAAGAGGGAAAAGAGTTCAAAGAAGTTAAATAACCTTTCCAAGATTATACAAATAAGTGATGAGCTAGGCCTGGAACCCTTCCAATTTCTGTAGAATCTTCATCTTGATTTCTACAGAAGCAATTTCATCTCAAACTATACTATGAAACTACTCAACATTTCTCATTCACTTGTTCAATTAATCTTTAAGTATTTAAACTCAAATACTGTGAGTATTGTGAGTCTGGTTGTGTGGGACTGCCCAAAGCAGCAAGGAACTACAATACACCTAACTCTTCATTTCTAGAGGAATTTTTTTTTTTTTTTAAATGAAACTAAGGGGAAATGAGAAATGATGGGTAAAAGACAAAAGAGATTCTGAGAAAAATAGAATAGGTCAGGGCCTTGAGCTATGCAGGGGGGAAAAAAAGCACCTAAAAAATAAGAATTATCTTTGAAGGCAGCACAACTAGAAATAAAATTCATAAAAAATGTCAGCTGTATCTCTTAAAGATTATATCAAGGGGTGCTAAGCTACCATTCGTTTAGTGTTTTGAAAAATTAAGATATGAACACTCACTGTAAATTTATGCATTCAAAATGATGCTCACAAGGAGTCTAGTCTGCAATAACATGGAAAAATATGAATTTTGTGTTGGGGAATGGCTCCACCACTGGCACTCTGGTGACCTCACGTCTCCACACAGGCCATGTAGGCAAGTCTCAACGGCACGATGACCTAAGCCTTGGTGGAACACCCTGTGATTATCTTGGCACATGGCATGGTGAGTGGTCTTATGAGCAGCAAATTCTCATCCACCTTCCTATCTTGTGGAAGGCAGCCACAGGGCAGTTTCTCATCCACCTCTCTATCTTGCAGGAAGTTGCCAAGAGACAGTTTCTCATCTGCCTCCCTGCTTCCAGTGAGGCAGGGGACTTTCTACCTTACTTTCTTAGAGTAGAGCTGCAAGTTATACAACTGCTTAGCTGCAGTATGGAATTTGTTCCTCTACTACAGTGACCTACCACTTGTGTAGTCTTGTCATCTGGCTCCTCTGGTTTGGTGTCAGCCTGTGGGACGTGGGGAACTGACACCATACTGATCCGGCTTATACTGTCTTCATAAATAATAAAACTGTCTCAGTGCATTTGGGCTGTGTCCTCAAAGGCTCAATCTATGGATATATGACAAGCCCAACCAGCAGCTGACGCCATATTGTTGCTTAAGGAGTGCTTGATGACCACTTGATATCTTGTTGTTAAATGAAAAAAGGCAGTCTACGATGTCTAGCTTTTATAGGGGAGTTTAACCCTATTACATGTACTGGCGTAACAGACATGTTTGTTCTTATTACTTCTCCTCGTTCTATAAATGCTTTTTTAATTTTTCCTGCTATTATATTTTGTGATAGTAGACTATGTTCTTTGAGTTCATTTGGTTTCAAGATTTTCTACATTCAAATTATTTTAAAAGCCACTTAAAATCATTAAACCTTTGTTTAGTTTGCTTTAATGCTCCAACTAGTCCTTTTATATCATGACTTCATCATAACTGAGTGCTTTAATTTAATTCACCTCTTGATCAACTAAGTAGTTTTTTTCAGGAAGGACAGATGAAAACAAGGGTAGGATGCTTTCTAAGCTCGGTATATCAAAGAATCTCTTTCTCTTGACTTCACATGAGTGAGCATAAGATTCATAATTCCAAATCTGTTCCCTCAAAACTCTGCATAAAACGTTTCATTATCTTCTGGCATTTAGTATTATGGAAGAGAAGTATGATTTGTGTTTCTTTGAATGTATCTTATTTCTTCTGCCAGAGTATTTATACGGATGATTACTTCTAAAATTCTAAAATTTGTCACGATATGTCTAGATATAAACTTTTTTCCCATTTACTTTTCCTAGAACTCAGTAACTCTTTTAACTTCTATTTCTTCCGGAACTTGCTTCTGGACCAACTATTCTAGTTGCTTCTTCAGGGACACCCATAATTCTCAATTTTCCATATCTACTGTCTTTTACATAATTATTATTCCTTTATCTGTTTCTACTGCATTCTGCGAGAATATTTTATTTTTTCCCCCCAGAGCACTGATAACAGTCTTGCAGAGTCACCTTTTCTTTTTTCCTACATTCAATGTGAACTTTAATTTTGCTCTCTGGGTTTCTGTTTCCCTTGTGTTATTTTATTTCAGGTTTCCCCCTTTTATGTTTTTTGTCCTGTGTAAATTTTTGCCTATTCACTCATGCTGGAACAGGAAGTGATCTGGTGAGATCAAATTTCTACCAATGAACAGTGTGGTGTATGACTCTTGGGCTCCGTTCTGTCTACTGGGGAGGACAGTTGCCAGATGATTTAAAAAGAAGTATCAGATAACCCAAGGGTCATGTTCTTATAATAGGTAACAAAATCAGCACAGAAGCAAGAATACTCACATACAGTTCCCTGTATAGCATAGCTTTTTTTTCCAGACCAAAATTGAAAATACAAGACTGGTTAACAATTGGGTACCAGGTGATCCTAACCTTTGGGATTTGTAGAATTCCCTTCTCAGATCTACAGCTGGAAAAGAATGTGATATACACATCCTCTAAGTTTTTTTTACCAAAAACTGTAAAATATCATCCAATATACCTTTGCTAGACTGAGTACAAACTTTTTCCCTAGTCCAATTGCTTTTTACTTGGACAGATGGAGTAGATCAAAGCAGACCAAAACATCTAACATAGTACAACCATATATTTGTATCTAACTTGGTAAAATACAAGTACCCAATTAAAACACTATCAAGGTAGAAATCTGCTCTACTTATCTAAGCTAATGAATTGACTAATGAGAAATACACAACTTCACTTTTTATTTGCATTTCAATCATATGTGGTGTTGTTTTAAGCACTAAACAAATACTCAACAAAGAAGTTAACTTCACCAAGACTTACTGGTGTATAACTATGCACACTTCCAACACTGTTCAAATTAACAGATGCCAAACTCTGGTCTGAGAGACTGTTGTTAAGGCTACTGCGTGGGCTATCACTACCATCCTGATCAGTGTTGTACAACGTTACCTAGAATGAAAAGAAAAGCAATATTTGAATAAGTAGTTCCCACTATAAAGAGTGCTTTTTAAACAACTACAAAAAATACAACTAAGCTGGTAGATGGCAGGAAGACAAAATGTTAGTGGTCTTCCCTTTGGTGCTTACCTACTCCAATTCCATCCTCTTCATCACTAACTCCATGTTCACCATAAAATAATTTACTCTCAAACTAAAGGACATACCCTATCCAGAGGTACATAAATTCAATTTTCTGTCAGGTATAACTAGTTCATTTAATAAGAGAGGATTACAGTAGATTTTTCCTGTTAAATATTTCTACAATGCATAAATTTATTTTTACTCAAGCTTTAAGCAAAACCAATGTTCTCTTCTAACAAAATCTTAGGCATCAAAAAAAGAACACAAAAAATAGCATGTTACAAAAGAAATCAGGGGCCGGCCCGGTGGTGCAAGCGGTTAAGTGCGCGCGCTCCACTGCGGCGGCCCGGGGTTCGCCAGTTTGGATCCCGGGCGCGCACCGACACACCGCTTATCAAGCGATGCTGTGGTGGCGTCTCATATAAAGTAGAGGAAGATGGGAATGGATGTTAGCCCAGGGCCAGTCTCCCTCAGCAAAAACAGAGGAAGATTGGCAGGTGTTAGCTCAGGGCTGATCTTCCTCACAAAAAAAAAAAGAAGAAGAAGAAATCATAGGCATCAGTGTTTATAATATTGAAAATTGGAAACTCAATTGTCCAACACATTTGCAAAATCATAGATACGTGATTTAATTTTTAAATATAACAACAATAATATGCTATTACCTGCATTAGATGTGAAGGATGATAGATATCAAACCGTTAACAACGGTCAACTGGCAGGGGGCTGGGAGCTAGGTATTCCTGAAGACTTCTGTCACTAACAGTGTATATTTTTACAATGCTGGAGTTTGTTTATAATAAGCATTATAATTTTTAATTAGAAACAAAAAATTATATATATTTTTAAAACAGAAAACTAGCCTAACTATCCGTCAAAGTTCTATTCAGATGCCACTACTAACCTTCTTTTCTATGCTCCTATTTCCTTGGGAACAATTATTATATCTGACTTTATGGTCTAACTAATTTTTATCAAATTTTTATCCACTACTAGACTGTTAGCTCCTTAAGTCCCCAATAAGTAATCATAACATAGTGCTTTCTGCTCAGTACACAATTAACAAATATTTACTGAATTTAATAACCAACTGAGCTATCATCACCATTCTGTCTGTGCTGAAAATGGAGTCATGCTCAACGCTCACAAATATTTGCCAAAAAGGCCCAATATGTGGAAAAATAGGCATAAATGCCTCTATGCATTAAGGCAAAACAAACTGGCCTACATTCACATCAGCTAGAAACAATTATGTGTCTAGGAACTAATAAGGGAAGAGTACAAGAAAAAATGTGAGGGGATAAAGAAAACTCTGGCAAAGATTTTTTTGGTAAATACTTCCAGTGTAAATTTCATTTAAAAAAACAACCACCACCACCTTATGGGCTCCTGGGAATAATCAAAAAGCTGTAAAACAATACAATATCAACAAATTACAAGCATCCTATGGTCATTTTCTTGGCTGCTCCTTCTCTCCTGTCCATGCTCAGTTACCTATTACTCAAGTCAGAAATACTCTCCATCATCTTGGACAAATCCTCATAGCTTATTTCATTTGGAAGAAGGATAAACATTTTTGTTAAAATGTAACATATAGAGAGAGTAAAGTGTACAGATTACTAGTTTATTTATTACAAATGGGCATACTCATGTAATCACCACCCAGGTCAAAGTATAAACCAGCAGTTTTTAAACTTTGATCTTAGAACCTTTTCACAGTCTTAAAAATTGAGGAGTCAAGGAGCTTTTGGTGATGTTGATATACCTATCAATAAATGGCATATTAGAAATTAAAACAAAAATTTTTTAAATTTATTAACCAATTTAAAAATAAGAATTACTACCCCAACTATATGTTAACAAAACATATTTTCTCCCAATAAATAAACGAGTGCGACTGTTTTACATCTTTGTAAATCTCAATGCCTGGCTTAATAGCAAACAGCTAGATTCTCACATCTGCTTCTGCATTCCATCTGTTACAATAAGTTGTTTACGTGGAAGTACAGAAAGAAAACCCAGCATCACACATATATATTTGGAAAAGGGAAGAATATTTTAATAGACTTTTCAGATAACTGTGGTTAGTCTTTTTTGATACTACACCAAAACATGACATGTGACACTTTTTAAAGATGAGTTGTAATGTGGAATCTGAAACCATATCAATCAATTTTTTTGTACTCTGTTACATTAAAATCTACTGTTCTACCTTGTACCTTTGAATGGATCATTTATCCATGCATAATTTTGTAACATTATGCATTGGTCATTTGGAAAATACTGGTTCACTAAGTTAGGCAGACATTGACACATTTTACTTCCAAATATTCACACGTTTCATTATACAACATCAAAACATCACTTGTTAATATCACCAATCATCTCATTAGAAAAGTCTTTAACGACTGGGAAGCTATCAGACTCGTTGTGGTGGATGTAAGTCTTCCATACTTCTACTTTTTGCTTAAAAGCTCCAATTTTATCATTGGCAAGAGATATTGTCAATTGTTTTCCTTGATGTGACAGGCTCACTTTGTTCATTTTCAAGAAAACATCTGCCAACAACCCAATTCTGAATAATCAGTGTCAGCTGTTCTTCCAAGTAAAAAAAATGACCCATGAACAAAAGCAGCTAGTTCAACATCCAACTCAATCAATCATACAAATGCTCTTCCTTGAAGCAACAACTATACTTCGGTATGCAGTATAAGGTTTTATGCATACTTCCCATTTCATTTCACAAAACGTTAAAAAGACAAGTACTTGGGGCTGGCCCCATGGCGTAGCGGTTAAGTGCATGCGCTCCGCTGCTGGCGGCCCGGGTTCGGATCCCGAGCGCGCACAGAGGCACCGCTTGTCAGGCCATGCTGTGGCGGCGTCCCATATAAAGTGGGGGAAGATCGGCACGCATGTTAGCTCAGGGCCAGTCTTGCTCAGCAAAAAGAGGAGGATCAGCATGGATGTTAGCTGAGGGCTGATCTTCCTCACAAAAAAAAAAAAAAGACAAGTACTCAAAGGTCACAACTTAATAAAACTTTTTCCTGCTTCACCAAGGATATTCTTAAGTAAAACCAGTATTTTTTTTTTTTTATCTGAAGGATGTGGGGCAGTGAAGAATACAAGGACTACTAGTATAGTTAGGTGTCACTGCCTTGATTTATGCTAAGGCTTACTTACTATTGCTTTTGCTGCATCAGTGAAAATACAAAATAAAGGAAAAGACAAATAATATTTAATACTACCGTAAAAAATAGTTTTGACCTCATGGAATCCCTGAAAGGGTCCTGGTTGCCCAGGTGTCCACAGACCACAGAACCGCTGGTATAGAACATTACCAGCTCTCCAGAAGGCCCACTCATGCACTCTCCCCATCATCACTCACCAGCCAGTCTTTCGCCATTCCCATCTCCTGTGCTAGGTAACCACTATACCGACTTCTACCACTATTGACTGGTTTTTGTATTTCTGAACTAAGTATAAATGGAACCATACAATGTATATCCTTTTCTATCCTTTTGCAGTAAATTTAGCTAAAGGATTACACAAAGCTTTGTTTTCTATTGCATTAATGTCTGCTCTTAATCTTTATTACTTCTCTCGTTCCATTTTTTAAAATTCATTTTATTGTTTTTCATCAAATTAAGAACTTTACTATTGTATCATTTATATTTATGTCTCAGATCCATCTGGAATTGATTTTTGTGAGTGGAAAATCTCGTCTTTCCATTGATCCTGCACCATTTGTTGAAAGACATCAGTGAATTCTGTTCCATAAGTTTGTCTGTCTATTCCTATGCCAATACCATACTTGCAACTATTGTAAGTTTATTCTTGATATTTGGAAATATAAATCCTCTAACTTTTATCTTTTTCTTCAACAACTATTTGCCATTTGAAATCCCATTTGTATTTTAAGATCAGCTGGTCATTTTCTGTTCCCTTCCCTCTGCCAAAAAAAAAAAACATCATGGAATTTTGATTGGGAGCATATTAAATTTGTAGATCAATTTAGGAAAAACTGACTTCTTTACAATAATCTTCTCTATGAAAATTATATACCCATTTATTTATATCTCCTTTGTTTTTTCTCAGTAATTTTTTACAGTTTTCTGTATAGACTTCATCATTCATGTAATACTAGGTATTGGATGTTTCTGAATGCTAATATAAGTGTTATTAATTGTGTCTTCTACTTGTCTATGGCTAGTATACAGAAATACAACTGATTTCTAAAATCAAACATTGATCTCATATTGAGACCTTGCTAAATTCACTTATTAATTCTAAGAGTTCATCTGTAGACTCTTTTGAATTTTCTACATAAACAATCATGTCATCTGTGAAGAATGATAGCTTTATTTCTGCCTTCTCAAACTTGATGCCTTTTATTTCTCTCTCATAACACTTCCACCTCTCCTCTCTCTGCCTGAACACTAGTGTTGTCATATATTTTACTTCTACATGTTATAAACCTACATTTTTTATTTTTTTGCTTTCAATAGTTTATTTATCTTTTAAAGAGATTTAAATTTTTTTAAAAAAGCTTTGTATTTACCCACGTAGTTACCATTTCTGGTGTCCTTAATTCCTTTGTGTAAATCCAGATTTCCATCAGGAACTTCAATTACATATATATTAGATTGTTTAAAGTTGCCCCCACAGCTCCCTAATGTTCTATTTACTTTTTTACAGTCTTTTCTCTGTGTATTTCATTTTGGCTAACTTTTATTGCTATATCTTCAAGTTCACTAATCTCTTTCTACAATGTTTAATCTGCTATTAATCTCATCCAATGTACTTTTCAACTCAGACATTATAATTTTTATCTCTAAGGAGTTTGATGGGTTTTTAAAATACCTTCCACC